CTACTCCAGTTGACCAACAGAGGAGAAGATTTCGGATCAGAAATGAAACTTCTCATGAGCAGGATGTTTTCAGCTTAGTGAATAAGTAGTTTCGAAGTATATTGTTGATGAACATCCCTTTCGGTTAGAAAATAACATTCTTGGACAAACAGTTGATCTTTGTAGGACCTTCTAGTTCTGGCCATGGGATTGTCTGTGTAGTCAATTTCTGTACTATACAGATCTGTTCTTCAAAGTGTAGATATCTTATCTTTTGGTTCTCTTGAGTGTATGTGATAAGATTGTTGACATCGGATAGGAGGGGAACAAACCAATGCCTTGAAAGATCTAAGGTCACCAAAACCCTTAAATTAGCTTTTGTGGTGAGTTCTTTCTACCCAAAGGGTATTTGCGTGCTACTCCTATCAGTTGTTGATGCTGCCATCTACATTTTTACCTGATAAACTTTTGTTGTATGTTGAAATATTTAGGATGGAAGCAAGTTGCATCTCCACTATTACAAGAAGTAAGATGGCAACAAAAGTCTTGGATTCTTATCCATCATTTGTTGGAAGGGATCATTAGGATAGTCTTGTAAGTTTGAATTTCCTGTTTGTTCTATAAAAAAAACTATCATCCTTTTGAGCTCGTTCATGGAAACGTCGAAAGAATTGCAATTAGAAGAATAAATGAATATAGCAAAGCATTTACAATCAACTGATCTAGAAGCTAGTTCACTCCAGAGGAATCTTGAATACAACCCTCAAGACTAACAATTTCTGTATCATCTTTGTGCTTTGCTTTTGGAAGATATATTATCCAAAGTTGCTGCCTAATGTTGGGAGTTGAGAGTGTCCATAAGCTTACTAAACCACGAGTTGAGAGTTTCCAAGAGATGGATAAGGAGATAACGGAGGCACAGCGAATAGTCCCATCCCCTTACTGTCTACTCCGTCCCAAAACCCCATCCAACTTGACGGCGTTAACGGACAAGCCTCGCCCTGAGCTTCTGTCTCTTCCCTTTTCACAGCTTTATGGCTGCTCAGATTTCTTTGATGGCTTTCTTCCTCCGTTACTTGTCTCTTCCTCTTTTCTTTTAAAGACACAGCC